TTTCCCATGTAGTTGCAGAAGAACCTGTAGATGTCAAGAAGTCCTATCATTGATCTGCACTTGTTTGGTTTACGATTAGAATGACAGAGCTGCTAAGTGCAACAGTTGCGTTTATTCATGATCTTTATACTATTATGGTTCTAGTTCCCAGCGCCGCTTTAGCCATAGTGCTTTGCTTTTCAGAAGGGGTTGGGTTTGTTTGTTTTTTAAACTGTCCCAAATGAGGCAATGATTCAAAGCCCAAATATCAAGATAAACTTTACTCAGTTTAATGGCATTGGAAAAGAATAGAACATTAAGAACAGCCCTGCTGGATCAGGCTAAGGGCCCATCTAGCCCAGCTTCCTGTATCTCACAGTGGCCCCACCAGATGCCTCTGGGAGCACATGGCACAACTAGATACGTGTCTCCTGATACACCTCCCCTGCATCTGGCATTTGGAGGTACCTTCCTTTGAAGCCTGGAGATTATACATCCCCATCTTGGCTTGTAACCTGTGATGGACTTTTCCTCCAGAAATCTGTCCAATCCCCTTTTCAAGGCATCTAGGCCAGATACCATCACCACATCCTGTGGCAAGGAGTTCCACCAATTAACAACACGCTGGGTAAAAAAAAAAAATTCTTTTGTCTGTTCTCACTCTCCAAACACTCAATTGGAGTGGATGTCCCCTGGTTCTGGTACTGCATGAGAGGGAATATACAAAATAACTCAAGATTATTCAGATAAAAGGATTTTTTTAACCTTATGTAGATGATGACTTGCCTACAATATTCAAAGCTAGCAAAAATAGCAACTGAACAGTTGTTTGCAAAAGCTCACCCATGAAATATTTTGACTTAATTGTACCTTAATTCATGACAGTTTGTTGTAACTCTTTTTAAGTACATAATACAACTTGCTTAGACACAAATGTTATCTGAACAACTCTGTACATTCATATACAGTATTCAAAAACTTCGGATTGCTCCCCCTAGTTCTGGTACTGCATGAGAGGGAATATATAAAATAACTCAATATTATTTAGATAAAAGGATTTTTTAACCTTATGTAGATGATAACTTGCTAACAATATTCAAAACTAGCAAAAATAGCAACTGAACAGTTTTTTGCAAAAGCTTCACCCATGAAATATTTTGACTTAACTGTACCTTAATTCATGATAGTTTGTTGTAGCTCTTTTTAAATACGTAATACAAATTGCTTAGACACAAATGTTATCGGAATAATTCTGTACATTCAGATTTTCAAAAACTTCGGATTGCTGTAATTAAGGACAATCTCAGCCTTCAATAATAGATGCACACTTGCAGTACTGATTACTGCTTGAGAAGAGGAACATCCATGTACCCTGACTCTCATAACAATCCAGAAAATGTATTATGTCTTCACCACCTTTTCAACTGAGAAGTAACAACAAGCATGCTATATTTGATTTTCAAATTGTCCAATCCGCTGTGTTTAGGCAGAATCTCACAATCTACCAATCAGATCCATGAGCAGAAGACGCTCCCCAGATTCTCTAAGCACATTCTCATACTAGAAAATCTTTTTAAGCACCAGAACTATTTTCCTGCATAAAAGTCTGCTCCTGGCTGTCTCGAGCATTCTTCATTTCAGTAATCTAATTCACTTTGCTATTGCTGTTGTTCAATATCTGCAAGTCAGAAACTCCTGCTGATCTCTGGCAAATCACCAGCCTTCTTCTGCTCGACACTGCTAGACATCGAAGGAGCACAGTGTGCTCTAACACTGCTAAATGCTTGATATGACATACCATTTCCTCCTCACTTGTAGACCAGCACAGGATTTCTTATGATTAAAACTGTCACAGTGAGACTGGGCAAAAGCAATAGTGGAGCTGTGTTGTAACTTGATTACATGTTAGATGGATGCTAGCATCTATCTGTGCATGAAGGGAATAAAGACAAACCGCTTTTCACACCTTCCTCAAGTTATCTGTTCACAACTCATATGCTGGATTACAGACTGCACTGCTATACCAGACACCAGTATCTCTCTTCAAAATGCATGTCTGGCAGTGCTGTGATAAGATGTTGTTTTTAATTACATCTGGATACCTTACACAAACTTTCCATTTTCAAGCCTTATTAAAATGCAAGCTCTTCCCCCTTTCAATTTACTGTCAATAAATATAGTCAGAATCACAAAACAAGCCTAATACCTTACAAAAGCCTATCATTGGTAAAGTCCCAACAGAAATCCTTTTTATCTTAAAGATTTTTAACCGCTTATGTCTGTGCTGATTGCTCTGAATTACTGTATCCAGTCTGTAACACCAAAGACGCAGAAACAGCACACGTCTAGAAGCAATCCCTATGAAACAAAATTTCTAAAGAATGTCTGCATCTTCCATCCTCTGTGGTTGAATATATTTACGCTATGACTGTATCCAAAAAATCCACTTCAATCAGCATCCTCCATTAGATGCACCGAGTAAAACAAACACACCTGTTGCTTTAGGAATTTCAGCTAGAAACAGAAATAATGTTCAGTTTTGCTGAAGAAACATCCTTTACCAATCCAGATTCTAGAGACACAGGCCAAACTGAATGATGCCATATGATGTAGGTAATAGGAATGACTTGAGTTTTTTCCCCTTACTCTAGAGGAAGCACAGGGGACCCAATACAGAGCAGAACCCTACGAGCAATGATGGGGGCTTTACTGCTTTCATCCCCAATGCAGTTCCAAGTGAAATGGGGATGGAAGCCACCTGCAGTTTTCATTGCCAAAACTTGATGGCCAGGAAAATCTGTTCAGAGCTAGGAATCACTGAGGAATGAAATCTATCCAGTGTAGCCAGCTTCTCTGTAAAGACATGTGTGTAGAAATCCAATATGTCAAGCAGGCTAAAAGAAAGCCTTTCTTTCTAAAACACTGATTTTCTACTTGTACAGTTTTTTAAAAAATATTTTGTATGGAAGAAGACTCAGTCACGTGAGCTCCCTCCTTTTATTCCGATGTGACACAGTTCAAACATACATTGAAAACCTCAGAGAAAACAAGCCTGAACTGTATTCTCTCCAGAACAGGAAAACTCATGTATTTTATGAAAATTTATTGTAACTGATACCCAATAAATGCATTATTCACTTGTGCACTTTGGATTATATTAAACAAGGGTCACATAGGCTACAAAGAGGGGACAGCAAAGATTTATTTCAGATATTTGAATACTAGAGACATCATCCTTAACTTCATGCCTTTAACTCTAGAAAGATGTAAAAGCAAATAACCATAGCAGAACAACTTCATTTTTTAATCTTTATCTTGCTGAGGCAAAATGTGGAAGGCAAGGCAATAAAGTAGCAGGAACAAACTTTGGACTGACACTATATTACACCGTTTCCCCTGTTTGTCTTTATTCCACCTAACCTCCACTCATACCCATTTTACCTGCGTTCATTTTAAACTCCTAGCTACTTGAGAGCAGTTCTGTCTATATTCAGCTATGGAAACCTGTAATGCCCCACATGCATGGATAGCACAGAATATCTATAAATAAAACAATTCAATAATTATATGAAATTGACATTTGGAGTGGATGTCATGGAGCAAACAAACATATGGAGCAAACAAACAAATCACGGTGAAGGCTAACCTATGGGGAGGAGTTATACAGGAAATCAATGCCCCCCCCCCAAAGAGATGCCTTTAACATGTGCTGGTCTAGAATACCCATCTACCCATTACCTCCAGCTAACAACCCACCCACCCCCCGGGCAATGCTCTCAAGAATTCAGAAGCTCTGTTTTTGTGGAAGAAAGTCAGGTATTGCTGGCATGACCTCTCTCTGTCCCAGGATGAAGTTTCTAATTTTTTTTCCATGTCCCGAGCTTCGCTTCAGCCTCTTTATTTCTCTCCTCCCTCCTGCAAACACACGCCCATGCAAAGGTACCGTGCGCATATACCTTCCAAGCTGTACTTAACGTTTCGTCTGAATCTACATAAATGCATCGGAGTCGCTTGTTGCTAAGGGTAACTTGACGGGAGTGAACGTCCAGTATTGCACTACAGAAAGATGGGCGCGTTCCCCCTTCTCGTGTTCCTCGCCCAACTTTAAGGCTGGCAGGGAGCGCTTGCATCTCCCCGCCCCGCCCCATTTCCCCTGGACCTGCCACTTGTCAGGATCAACGACGTGTGCCATCATCCTGCCAGCCCCGGCTGCTTCCCCTCCACGTCACCTAGCCATCCCTTGAGAAAAAGGGCCCTCGCCTGAGCGTCACTCCTCCGCCTTCGCCACGCCTGGAGGCATGCCAGGAACTCTGCCTTCCTTCTCCGAACAAGACGGGGATTTAGGAGCATTGCCTTCTACTACACGGTGCCAAACCACGGGCACCCACTTGCCCAAGCCACTCGGGCACCTTAGGGAGAAGGGGGGTCTTTCTCTCTCAGCCCGGCTGCCTAAGCACCGCGAAGTGGCAACGGCCTGGAGTAAACCTGCATCTTTGGCATGCAGAGCATGTGCTCCCTGGTTCGCTCTTCCCCCCCCCTTCGGGTGCCCACTGAGCTTCAGCCACTCTGGGACCCTCTGCGCGCCCAGAAGCGGCGGGAAACTTGGCCGGATGGGCGATCTCTACCTGATCAGGTGTGCCCAGCCCGGACACGGATGTCTTCATCCCCTCCCTTCACACACACACGCATTCACCCACACCCTCCAACCCGGCACACGCAGGGGCTGCTTGAGGGTAGCGTGCGCTCCTGGCAAAGGCATGCCCCAGGCGCCCCCCCACCCCCAGCGGC